TTTTGAGGAATATTTCCTGCTTGATTCTCACATTGAATAGAATACTACCAAAAGATTGAATATTTCTCTCTGTGCAGTACTCTAATACGCATTTTTATTTTCGAAACAAATCAATCAAATGATTATATTTGTAATAACTAACCGAATTTTATTGCCAAATTGTCTAGCATCAACACAACGTTTTGTATCAAGATTAAATAAATAAGAACACGCTTGTTTATCATAGAGACGACCACGTCTATCAGCTTCTTCTTCAGATATGATTTCACCAGTATATTCTCCAATTAAATCACCTGGATATGCAATTGGTGAACCAAGAAAAGCTCCATAACCAGCAACTAACATAAAACAAATCAATGAAATTAAAATTAAAAAAAAAAAAGAATATACTAAAAATAACATTACCATCTGATTCTGTAATAAGAATTTGTTTATATAATTTTCTTTGTATTGAAATATTTGCACATGTAACCATAGGCATAGTTGATGTTGTATTTGAATTTAATGATGCTCGTGAATTAGTACGTTTTGTTTGATTTCGAACTAATTTATATGATGGTTCAACAATTCGACATGATCGAAGACTATGTTGTCTTGCTGGTAAATTTTCATTGATTTTTGTTCGTGTATTTCTTCTAGATAATGATGATGATGTTTTTCTTCCAGTTATTGTTGTTGTTGTTATTTCTGGTTCTCTAAAAATAATTGAAAATTTTTCATTTGTTTTTTTTTCTCTATTTTTAAATAAATAAATTTACGATTTAATTATTGAATTAAAATTATCCATGGGATCAAGAAATAAAGATGCACCACATTTATGACATAAATCAGGATCACATTCTCGACCTTCAGCACAACATAAACAATTATTTAATAAACATGAACCTTTACATGTACAACCCGGAAATCGATGTGGACAATCAATTGAACAATTACAATATTTTTCACAATATGTACCATTTTGCATACAAGAACAATTATGATTTGATGATATACATGGTCCCTCGTGTAAACATGGTTGATAAGCAGGTTTTAATGTTGTTGATTTATTATTATTATTATTATTGTTATTGTTATTATTATTATTATTATTATTCCCATGTTTTTTTATATGAAAAAGAAATGCACGTGTTGCACCTTCTAACATTTTTCGTCGATATGGTTCTCGTATTGAAAATGTTAAACCATGTTTTGATGAAATATGTTCAGAAAAAAATTTTGCATCTAAGATAAATTGTTGATAAATATCTTGACATGTTCGATGATCATTAAATAAATGATTAATTAAACATAAATCACCATCGAATATAAAATAAAATAAACGAAATAAACTACGATCTGTTAATGTCCAATTATTGGCTAAATTATTTTGTTGTTGATCTAATTCTTGACATAATGAATTTGAATATTGATGTATCATATGATTTTCTATACGTGTTAATAATTGTTGAGATGAAAGTTTTTTTTGATTTTCAAGTAATTGAAAATGATGATCAAAATAAAGATCATTATGAAGATTTTCATTATGTGAAAAAATTAATTTATTTGGTGATGAAATATGATTTAATGAAGTTGATTTACGTTGACGTTTTTTAACATTTTCATTTGCTTCAGACGATGTTGAAATATTTGTTTGAGAATAATTATGTTGTTGTTCATTAGTATATGATGATGGTGATAAAGAACGTTTTAAATGTTCTCGTTCATGTTTATAACATGTTGAACAACATGGTGATGATTGATTATCATTGGCGATGAAAAATTGTTTTGGTAATGGAAGATGTGAAGATTTTTCTGTGTGTAATAAACAACTATTTTGAACAAAAAAAAAAAGAAGTATAATTAAAATTTTAAAAAACAAGAATGATAGATTAATTATCCAGGTGAAAAAAATCATACGCAAGATCTTGTAAGATTAGATGAAATTATACAATAAGATTCTTGAAAGATCTTACTGTCACATAAGATTTTCTATAATCTTATAGTGATATCTTACAAGACAACAAGTTCTTTCAAAAATCCTATAATATGAATTAGTGTAAGATTTCTGAGACTACGATTTTTGTCTAATTGTTTGCCCTGGATCCATTCCCATTTCCATATTGGCTATCAATAATAGTGCAAATGTTCATATGGTTAAGTTGTGCAACGAAGATAAGTCGGATAATTTTATTGATGAATTCAATGGAGTATCTCTTTTCATAGACTATATTATTATTATTATTATTATTATTATTCATGTTCAAATTTATTAAATTATTAACTAAGTCTTATAATTCTATGTTTAACGATTTTTACAAAGTCGTATATGATAATGGATAGGACAAAAGTTTTGTATTAATTTTATTTTTGATATAGTGTTATAATGAAAGTTGAAAAGAGAAAAATTTCTAGTGCATAAATATAGCGTTTCTCGAAGATCACAAAAATTATTCGAAAATGTTTTTGCAACTCTTTTGAATTTAGAAAACTATAGCTAATAAGAAAGATTTTCTTATAATTCATGTATTCCAAATTTTATTATGTAAGGATAGGACACTAATATTGTACCGAAAAAAGAAATTTTCTGTATGTTTGATAACGGCTGATATACATGTATATACAACACCGTCTGATATCACTAATATCTCATAACTGGTGACCGTGTTTGAAAAAAGTAAATTCTACTCTGACAGAGACGTTGCCAGAACCTATAATTTTCCATGAAAAAAAGGAAAATCTTATTCAGTACTCGAATAAACAATATTATTTAGAATAGGACAGTTTTTCTGTGAGATCTTCAGACTAAATATTGTTTTCGTGTTACACAAGCGTCCAATTGAATTTTTAATTAAACCTATATCTAGATAAAAAGAAATTGTGACCTTCGAGAAATATTTCCAATTAAATTCTTTTATATATTTACACACTCGATAGTTTACTATTTCTAACAAAAAACAATAGGATGAAGTCTCTGCAATATCGTATTACAGTACGATATCACAAATAAAATTAATGCAAAACAACTGTTTGACACCTTCATATATGTGCGTACGAAACATACAAAAATTCAACACTTATCGTTTGTAATCAATCAAAATTTTTCATCAATAATATCATATCGATCAAAATATTCAATAGCAAAATTATTAATCTTAACTATGAATTTATATCTTTCGAATTAAATCTTACTTATATATATAACAACGTGGACAAAATTGAGAACACCATGATTTAATAATGAGATTATCAATGTTAATATCTATTGTATCACATGTATCAATATTTGCATGATGTCGATGATTATCATTTGAAGAAAGTTCATATTGATTAGCAAATCTAATAAGTCGTGTTCGTGATGTCGAATCACGATGATAATCTAAATAAAAATTTCTATGTAAATTCATTGAAATTTAACATGTAGTTTATTTTTATTTTTGCTTACAAATTATAGCATCAATAATTTGTTCATTTGTATATGTTTTCCAAGCTTTATTTGATCGTATAGATTGATAAAGTGTTTCTAATAAATGTTCATCGAGTTTGTTTTCTAATTAAGTATTACAAAAACAAAAAAAAGAGTTAATCTAGAATAAATATTGTAAAATATTCATACTGCGTAACGTAGTTTTATTTTGTATTAATGGTTCACCGGATATTGAATCAATCAATTCTTGATCTTCATGATCAAATTTATCTCCTAAATATGGAATACCAGTAAGATCACCACGTGTAGCAATATTTTTCATAGTTGGTACATAAGATATTAATTCTCGAACGGAAGACACTGATGGCAATATGGTTGTAATTGTTGAATATTTTTGTGATTTTTGATTAGCACCATCTGATATAATAACTGACATAGTTCGAATATTATCATCATGATTTGTTGTTTTCGATTCTATAATAGATTCAGGAATAGAAATTGTTATTTGACATGGTGGTGGACGTTGTACTACATGTCGAAGAATATGACTAAATGAAAAAAAAAAAACATGAGTTGAATAATATAAAAGTTTATAATTAAAGTAAATGTTAGAATTTATAGATTAGATATTTTACCGACATACAAAAGAGGACATATTCTCAATTGATCAATCGCTTTCTCACCGAAAGCTACTGAATCATGAAAAACTTCATATCCTGATTTTCTGGACTAACAAACTTTTCGTCGAAATGTTTTTTTGATCTATCCAGATTGTAGAACATTTTATATAATAGATACATAATTCAGTAATGTTTGATGAGAAATCAATTAATCAGTTAAAAATGTTTCCTCATTAGTTAAAGCGAATTTCATTCAATTGCAGAAATTATGTATAGACTGATTCGAATACAATAAGTTTCATCATTTTTGTTTTTCTATTTTTAATATGAAGCAAAAAATAAAATTATCTAGATTTTTACCTATGCAATTAGAATATATATATTAAAAATTTTTGTAGATTTTCTAAATATTTATTTACATATATATTTCTAATCAAGAATTCATGAAAAAATTTCAAATTTGTTTAGTACAATCTTACCGAGCTGCTTTTTGTGCAGCTTTATATGTTTGACGATAGAGTTTAGTATATTCATGTTCAACAGCTTGCCGAAGAACATCTAGTTTTTTCTTTGAAAAAAAAATGCAAAAATTAAAAATTTTTATTCAAAAAAAAAAAATTATTATTTAATTTTTCTCTTCTTACATCATTCAACAATTGTTGTTGAGATAGATTATTGCTTTTTCGCGTTTCACGCATATATATTTACAATAATTAATATCAAACAACTTTTCTAAAATAAAATCTACGATTTATTTTTGTAAAATTCTTCATACAAGAAAAAAAAAAGATGAAATGATTTTCAAATTGACTAATCAAAATAGAATATAAATATATTGGTTTACGTGCAATCAATGGATAGAAAATTTTTTTCCATATGGTAAATAATGGATCGTTATACAAAGACAAAAAAAAATGAAATTGTTCGTTTGTTTTATATCTGTTGTTTTCTATTGATAAGAATATCTTCTTCAGATGGCAACGTACGGTGATACATTAAATCAAACATTTCCTAGATTATCATCAAATGGAGATGATGAATTACATCGTACATTTCATACTCCATCATATAATACAAAATCAGCTGGTTTCAATTTTGAACAACAGTTTTTGTTCGGTAAGAAAGGAAAATATTGTGTTATTGAACTGACAAAGGAACATTTCGAACTGATGGGCGCTGATTAAACGCAATTCCTAAAATATCACATAGAACCGAAACTGTTAAATCATTAGAGAGATACGAAAATTTTAAATCTATGTTGGAATTTAAGACGCCGTATATTTCTATACTTAAACAAAACTTCTAGATCAAGTGTTAATGAGAAATTGAATTATTAGACTTTCATCTAAAATTTTAGTTCAAATAAATTTATTTAACATGAAATATTGAGTGTTCAAAGGGTATCAATATCTTGCAGGCAAAACAATAGAATCGACTGATCTTCGACTTTCCATATCTCCAGAAAAATATATTTGTTTGAGTTAAAATTTTTAGAATATGCCAGTGACTCTGAGACTTATCTATAGACGAAACTTTGGATGAAAATCTCCCAATTTATATTTTCACATCTATCCTAGAGGCTGGAAACTCCTCCGTATAAAATGGTCATAACTCTATCCGAATAAGATCGGGCCCAAATTTCAAAAAACGTAGTTTTTTATGGTAAATAGGGTCGATTATAATCATTATATATTAAGCAGTTTTCATGGGATAGTTGTTTTCCTACGATTTACAAGCTTGATCTTGTAGAGTACAGATTAACTAACATCATTCTTGTATAAATCAGACAGTCTCACACATGACCTGCATTTAATCTAACGTTGATAGTATATTGACTATTGATAAAAAAAGCTAAAGACTTTCATCCATTGACGAATCAACAATTCGTTGTTGTTCGAACGAAAAACCTTGGTTAGAATTTAGTCAATAATTGAATTGAAAGTAGTCTTTCGAATTGATGTACAGCTAAGATTCTGAATCAAGTCAGCATTTAAAAATTAGCTGTAAATCATAGCTAAAACATTGTTTAATTAGATAATGCATTTCATTCAATAACATATCAACCAGCAACTGTATCATGTCAACAAATGACAACTGAACATCTTGATCGTTTATGTTATTCTCCTAAACCAGCATTTTCTCCTCGTTTTATTTCTCAACAACAACAACAACAGCAACAACAACAACAACAACAAATATCATCATTACCTACAAATCGTTTAAATCCATTTCGAGCATTTCTTATTGTTAATCGTTTAACATCATCAATCATAAGTGTTAATCGACAAGCTTGTGAATATTTTTGGTATACAGAAACTGAACTTAAAACTAAAACAATTGATAATTTAATTCTTGATGAAAAATCTTCATCTGTTATAACAGATTCATTTTTAAGTCAACAAAGTGGACAAACAAAAATTCTTGCTGGAAAAATTGTTTATGTTCTACTTGGTACCGGTGAACGTGCTCGTTTTTCATTATTTATACAAGATCTTGATGGTGATGAAATACCATTACGTTTTTATGCATTTGAACCTATACATTTAATGCAAGCAAAAATTATTTGTGATAAACAAGGTTTAATTCTTTCATCGGATCATAATTTTTCTATATTATTTCATAATACAATGATTGATAATAATCATTTAAATGAAAATCATCATATTGGAGATTTTATTCCAACATTAAAAGATCAATTTAAATTTAAACAATTATTAATACATCGAACATATCGAACAACTGGTTTATTAAATAATGAAAAAAATTTATTTATTCCATTAATGATAACAATATCGAAAAATAATGAAGATAATATTCAATTAATTCTATCAATTATGTCAAATATTAGTGGATTAATTATGTTAGATGAAACATATACTATTCGAGCATATAATCCTTATTTTATTCAATGTTTACTTGGATATCGTTCACTTGATTTAATTAATCATGTAAGTTCAAGCAAAATAAAAAAAAACAAATTACTTATAATAAAAATGTGTTAGGACTATTTTTCAAATCATAGTCAATATTTTCGTATTTTGTTTTCTATATATAATCTGATAGATATAATTATCGAATAGACTTTTCAAAAAATCTTATAGACATTATTTAATTCATTGAATATGCAAGTTATAAATAAAACTAATAGTTCGAAATAAAATAAATTTTTAAGAAAAAAATATGAATTGAATTATAAGAAATTCATTACAAGATATACAATGAATAAGCAAGTGCAATAATATTCCTTTTGGTTTTCTATATATATTTTAATCATACACATCGGAATATATAGTTATGAACACAATCAGCAGAAATGGGACATGATCATTTATAAGAGTTAGTTTTTCGAACAAGTTCTTTTCCCATGAATATGAGTTGTCGCAATTCACACTTATTGCTTCATTTTCAAAACAACAAGAGCCGATTTCATCTTCGATTCACACTTAATTAAACTTCATTAGTTACTTTGTTAAAATGTAATTAGCAAATAACTTTTTAATGTTGCTATGGGCAATTGCAAGAATTCCAGAATAGATTCTACGTCTCGAACTATATCTATGGTGAAATTTTCAACAAGATCGAATTCCGAAAAATTGCTTCCCAAAAGTCGGCGGTTTTTCAGAGATCTGATTTTTCCTTTCTTTATTCATATTCACTCACATCACTAACAATGAATAAGTTGAATTGTTGAAAAACCTAAATGTATTCAGAAAAAACCTTGCGTAGAGATTTTGTAGCCCAAAAGAACTCTCTACAAAATGTACTATTTGATTTCTCAATATACTATTTGAACTTGTAGTATTTGTAAATGGAAACGCGCATAGTGAAAACCTTTGTTTTTTTTGTGTTACATCGCTAACACTGGGTTTTTTCATAAACAGTTTGACATAACAACGATCTAAACGACTAAGTTTTTAAGATATCTAGAATAATTCAACATATCTGTTACATGAAAATTAGTTAGAATAATTAAATATTCCTCAAGCTAAATTATTGAATTTTTTAAAAATAGCATATAACGGAAATACTTCCAGAATTCAATGAA